ACATGGGTTAAAGGATACCTGTCATGATAAAAAAAACATGTAGGCTGCCATTACCCTCTAAAAATGACTGGTGCTGGCTGTATCTGCATTCAATAATTCAGTGTCAACGACCTAGAAAAAGCATGCAGCATACAAAAGTCACAGAGAAGTCTGAATTGCTTACCTCTATACTTATCATTTCAGACAAGGGATTTAGAAAGCATTGAAGCCAAAGCATCTGTGTGACAGCCAGGCAGGTAGCATTTGTAGAAGAAAAGGCCAGCAATGATAAGTTACATATCTTTCTTATGACAGGTTTACTTTACGTGTGCAAAGGGTCATACAGCATAAAAACAGTCTGAGAGTCTCAGGTGTTGCGTGTAGCTGCCTGTACAAATCAATGTCAGGCTGTGGTTGTATGATGGTAAACGCTCATCCAAGCTATACACGTGTACAGGTATGGATGTACACCCCCCCTGGAAGCAGACAGCATGTGTCCAGGAGGCTGAATGAGAGAAATCATTTGATTTCCCCATCCAAGCCTAACAGCATATATGGAATCTCCCCTGTCCGTATTGTATTCCAACAGCGGGCGCCTGCAGCTGTCAGAATACCCAAACAATCGCTGCATTTCATTGGCTGCTTCCACTGTTTGAACTGCTTGAACTTGACTGACACCCACCCTGCTCCTTTGATTTTCCATTTGTAGTGTGTTAAGCTGGGTGGTGTTGGCAGGGCAAACCGCAGCTTGAAATTTGGCTGATTCACAGGGACTATAGCCAATTAAAGTCAAAGTTCACTTTTTGAGAATAAATAATAAATACACACTTCTACATAAAAGAAAAAATTTACATTTATTATTTTGTTTTTGCATTGGAGCCAGTGCAGCATTGCAACTGCAATCAGATGATCACAGGTGTATTGCTCTGGCTCCTGCAGACTCTTGCTGCCGTCCATGTCTATAATGAAGTATGTACATTCAATAACATAGATGGGAGAAAAAAGGAATGGACTACAAGTGTGGTGACGTCGCCGCACATGTACTCCATTGAGGGCTTTAAGTTCCTCTGCTGTGGTGGCTGAGGGGACTTGTAGTTTCCCCATTCACAGATTCTGACAAAGGATCTGTGAATGGGTGATGCAGTTGTGTGGACGGAGCCATGCACATCCATGCCGGATTCAAAATACAGCAGCAGTCTGCGGGGAGAGGAAACCTACGATTCAGGTAAGTGGGGGAGCAGGAAGGAAGTTGGGGATGTGACCGTGTACCTGAATATGGAGGTAACATGAAACGTGGTCTAGAAAGTAAACTTATCCTTTAAGGCAAGGACATTGTCAGTAATTAATGATGGCAGCCCGGGAGTCTACTGTAAAGGTGCTCATACACCTTACGATTATCGTAAGATAATCGTATGCGATCGACCTTTTCGTACGACAATCGCAACGTGTGAATAGAGTGCCCGACCGATAGTACTGTACAATCGTACGACTTTTGACGGTCAAGCATGTTTGAAAACTTTGGTTGATCGTACGATGTTCGCATGGTTGGTGGTGTTTCCGTCCGTCAAAAGTCGTACGATTAACACTGCGCATGCGCAAACGAAAATAATTGTGGTCAATTACCGCAAGTCGTCCATGTGTTTTTTTTTTAACTACCGCTGATTGAACCTTGCGATAATCGGGGCAGGATGGGGCAGTTTCGTCCGATAATCGTAAGGTGTATGGGCACCTTTAGTTTAGCCTGGCTGTAACTCACAGCTACAGAAATAAACAATTCTTAGGTACTGAGGTCAATGTTATATCACCATGCATAAGTGAATCTACACACAACTTTTTTCCTATCTGCCTTGCTGAGCTAGAAGTAAAGAATGTGAATGTACAACAAACAACCCCCAATGTTATTTGCGCAAACCAAACACACATTTGTGCATTCCTGTGTTGTATTCTGTGTCCATTCATTTTCTAATGCAGAATAGTTTTCTTTTGTGCAGCTGGAACTAATTGTGCCCAATTTATACAAGTCATTCCATCAGGTGTGTTATCTACAAGTCACCCATACGTGTCACAAGAAAGTTACGGATTACGGATTTACATTTTCCTCTAATACACATAGAAATGTGTGAACGCATTTGAAGATGCAAGCAGAAGAATGAAAGTCACATGCAAGTGATTAATGTTCTTTCATATTCCCAAACCATGATATAATACCATACCACAAACAACTTCAAAATATCAGGGGTTGCTAAGGGAATGGATATTAACAAAAGTCTGCCCGTTTGTTGTACAGGCTGAAAGCAGAAGTGCATGTGGCAGCAGGTAATTAAGTTCATATTGGTGCACTGACAGCAAGTGAATAGGTACACATCGCTGTAGTGGTTGTTAGTACATCCGAATGCATGGTGGAGAGAATGCGATAGGAAGTAGTTGTGTACAGGTGCAATGAAGAGAATGAGGTGGGAAGCGGTTGCGTACAGGTGCGGTGGAGAGAATGAGGTGGGAAGCGGTTGAGTACAGGTGCGGTGGAGAGGATAAGGTGGGAAGCGGTTGATTACAGGTGCGGTGGAGAGAATAAGGTGGGAAGCGGTTGATTACAGGTGCGGTGGAGAGAATGAGGTGGGAAGCGGTTGAGTACAGGTGCGGTGGAGAGAATAGGATAGGAAGTGGTTGTGTACAGGTGCAATGAAGAGAATGAGGTGGGAAGCGGTTGAGTACAGGTGCGGTGGAGAGAATGAGGTGGGAAGCGGTTGAGTACAGGTGCGGTGGAGAGAATGAAGTGGGAAGCGGTTGAGTACAGGTGCGGTGAAGAGAATGAGGTGGGAAGCGGTTGAGTACAGGTTCGGTGAAGAGAATGAGGTGGGAAGCGGTTGAGTACAGGTGCGGTGGAGAGAATGAGGTGGGAAGCGGTTGAGTACAGGTGCGGTGGAGAGAATGAGGTGGGAAGCGGTTGAGTACAGGTGCGGTGGAGAGAATGAGGTGGGAAGCGGTTGAGTACAGGTGCGGTGGAGAGAATGAGGTGGGAAGAGTGTCTAGCATATTCAAAGGCGCATTGCAAATGAATACAAGAAAAAAACAATTTTTGGAAAGCAAACACACTGAAAGGACGCATTTAAAATATTTTCATTTGTCGGAGCTGTTACAGTTGGTGACAGCGTCTCTTTAAAGTGTATTTATAACCAAACTTTTTTAAAACCCTTCTCAGTTTGGGGAGATTTCCCTTCAATTTCTGTCTGTGAACCACAACAGGAAGAGAGAGGAAGTCACCACAAATGGGGGGGTCATTCTTCTCTTAGACGGTTGTTACCACAACAAGGGTCCCCATTGAAAGATCTACCCTCATTTTTGTTCCGGTGACAACTGTAAAATTTTAGATTTTATGTATCGGTGATAATAGTCACTAGGACACATCAAAAGGGTTAAATCTCTCCAGGGGGACACATGCAGCAATAAAAAAACGGGGTTCTACCCCCTCACCCCTCTATCCAAAACATTGAGATAGACATTGGAGAATTCATGAACATGTGCAGTCTTTCTGTCGCAAAGAGCAAAATGTCATGCTAACTAACCGCACATTTTATCTGTTATGTGTGTTTTTTGTGGTGTTCTAGTGACATATGAATGTTTGTGGCTCACTATACGTTTTGTGACATTTCACAATATTTCTCAACTGCGCAGTAATTGTGTACAGAATTTGTGACAACAAAAAACCAAACTGGCACACATTCTCTAATTGCTCCTGGGCACTTTTTAAAGCAAGGGTGTGCAAATTCTACCCCTCCAGCTGTTGTGGAACTACAAATCCCATGAGGCATTGCAAGATTCTGACAGCCACAGGCATGACTCCCAGAGACAGATGCATCATGGGATTTGTAGTTTCACTGCAGCTGGAGGGCCGGAGTTAGCCCACGCCTGTCTTAAAGTATCACAAAGATAATTCAGTTTCATACCCTTAGGTCAGCTGACTATTCACCTATCATCTATGAGGTTTCCCAGCAAGCTGGTGACAATTTTGTGACAATTCTTTCTTATGAGAGCATTTAGGAATGAAACATAAACTAAGATAATAAATCTGTCACTATATGCACGAGAAATCAAGGATGCAACTTGATCAAATTTGTGTTCTATTTACACTATTGAACCCTTTTGATACCAACGTATGGCATGGGCCCTGTAACCAAACTCCTAGCTGCTATAGTACTTGCATGGGCAGTCAAAGCTGCCCCCCTGATATATATCGGGGGGCTCCGCTGCCCCTACTGTGGGCCCGGGTCCAGCATAGCAGGTGCGGACTGCTAGAGAGGGAGACCAGTGAAAATCTGCACCCTGATCTCCCCGATCTGAACCTGCAATTGACAACTGCGGGCGCTTGATCAGCTTCACTGGAGTAGAAAGGTGACATGAGGAGTCTAATACAGAGGTAGTCAACCTTGGCTCTCCAACTGTTTTGAAACTGCAAGTCCTATGAGGCTTTGCAAGACTCTGACAGCCACAAGCATGACTCCCAGAGGCACAGGCATGGTGGCATTTGTAGTTTCACCAAAGCTGGAGTGCTGCTCTAATAGAACCCTACTGCATGCACAACTTTTTTTCACCGTATTGCAGTACCGCACATGGAGCTCCAGTGCGCAGCCACTGGGAGATGTGTTGGTATGATATACAAATGAATAGCAACACTAATGTAGTGCGTGGTACCGCACACTAGGTGCCTTGTGCAATATTGGGGGGAAGTTTATAAAAACTGGAGCAGACAGATCCTGAAGCAGTTGCCCATAGCAACCAATCAGCTTCCCTATATTTTCAAAGCATAACTGAACAAACTAAAGAGAGAAGCTGATTGGTCCCCATGGGCAACTGCTCCAGATGCTGTCTCCTCCAGTTTGTATGACCCCCCTGCACTAAAGACATGACACCGTGCAATTAGTGCAAGGCTATGGTGTGAATAGGCTGCCTGGATCCTGGCACTGGGGTGTCAAAGCCCCAGCACCTCAATGTGACAGCAGGAAAGGTCATGTGATGCCACTCACCATGTCCTGTCTGAGAAGCTGTATCTTACTCCCCAGCCTCTCCAGGGTGCTGGACTGGGGGAAGCTGACAGGGACATCGTGCCCGGAGAAGCCATCCTTCTTCCAGTCCCCGTGCTCCTCTCTCAGGGATCTGGCCAGGCTCTCCGGCACCTTGCGCCCCAGCTTGATCTCAATGTCTCTCAGGTCCACAGTGGATTGATCAGCCATCGGAGAACTCTTCCACAATCAGCACGATGCCAGCCAACCCAAATCCCAGGCACGAATAAGTAATTGCTTCCTCGCTGACAAGTCCCAACTTCTTCATCGGGGTGTGTGCGATCACGTCTCACTCCTTTATACATCCATGTGTGTTCCCTGCAGCGTTTGTTTATGGTGATGTGGATGGAGCAGAGACATGGCAGCAGAGTTCAGAGAGAGCAGACAGGCACACTGTCACCGCTGATTGTTCCGTCCACAGCATTGTCTTCCCAGAGCTGCTGAAACTTTAAACCTCAGAGGCAACAGGACCTGATCTGACACAGCCCTCCTACCGTATATCTTCAAATAGAGGGCAATACCGGGGTCTCCCGCCCACCCACTCCAAGCTTCCTGTGATACCAGCTGCGCTTGTTTTAGGTTACAGTCACCCTGGATAGACAATACTTGCATGGTGAGGTAGAGGAGCCTCATGTATAACCTTGCTCATAAATAAACTGCCCCTCCGCCTATGATCCATGATGTCATCCCCACAGATATTCTTTTTCTATCACATAGTATTATGCAAGCATTAGATGCTTTTTTTACCTACAGTAGAGCATTGGACTGTACAGCCATCAATTGGTGCAGATTGTTATTAAAAAAAACAAATGAGCTGTGTTTTATTAATAGTTGCAGTTCATTGATCCTCTATGTAAAGCTGGTCACACACTAATAGATAATGAGGGGGATTTATCAAAACTGAAGCAGACAAAATGTGGAACAGCTGGGGATGGCAACCAATCAGCTTCTTTCTTTCATTTTCAAATCTTATCTGAACAAAATGAAGAGAGAAGCTGATTGGTTGACATGCACAGCTACTCCAGATTTTGTCTGCTCCAGTTTTGATAAAGTCCCCTCTTTATCTTTTAGGCCTCATTCACACTACTAACAGCCGGCCCATACAGACCCATGCTGCATGCACGGCCGTATCGGGAAGGAGAGATGCTACGTGTTTTCGAGCATGCTGGTTCGGCAGTTGTCGAACAAGCAGGCCACTAACCGTATGATTCTTGGCGGGTTTTCCAGCCTGCTTGTTCGACGGAAGACGTGTGACTGTACAGCAGAAACGGTCGCACGCCTTCCATACACTGTACGATTAATGTATGATCGCGGGATTTCCCTACAACTACAACTTCAATACAAGTTAGTAAACTAAACATGAGATTGTAGTCCATCATGGGAGTGAGCTTGGAGCGGTGACTACTTTACAACACACAAGGACCATGGGGAACTAAAGTAGCCACCCTCTAGAAGGGAGGACAGTGTCAGCACCAATTCAGAGATGATTTGAGCATCTACAGCCGAGTGATACACAAATATGATACATTTTTGGTAACAGTTAAGGTACCTGAATGTATTTTTAAGATTTAACTCCTGAGTTTTGTGTCACTTTATTTGAAAATCGAATGAATAGGGTCCCTAGGTTGGCTGTGCCATTTAGCAAGGCAGTGTAAAACTCTGGACAGGATAGACAGATATACAAATGCTCTGCCAGATGACACAATTACATTGCTGACAGTCTTTTCCTCACTAAATAAAAAAAAAAGGTTTTGTCTGGATTTGAGATTGAAGCAGGTATGGAAAACTCTTCCAGACAGACAATGGAGTTTCCCTAGATCTGGCTGGTTATATTCATATGCTTGCATTTTTTGCAGGCTTTTGCTGTCACTTCCAGAGGTACACCCCCCTACCACACTACAGATGGGCGTCCAACTCTCTGTGCTCCTTTGATTTTTAGATATTCTGTAAGAATTTAGCTATCTGATGACCATTCTACAATGCTGTTTTCTTATAGCAGCTGCCATCCCTGTAAAGTGAACCTGTCAGATACCTAATGCCGCAGCTGTTACCTTCATAAGTACACAGTGATTACCGCACTGAAGATCATACAGCTGTTGTCCCTTTTCTACTTTCATTCATTCTGAAAAGTGAAGCTCTCATTTAACTAAATACCCACCTGCTGGGAGATTTCATGCTCTGATTTACAAGCTGCATGCTAATTCTAAAGCTGGGCACACACCTTACAACCAACGCAAGACTTTTGTCTTGCGATGGTTGTAAGGTAATTTAAAAAACATACGATCTGCCCATCTTGGACAGGCAGATCGTACTTGCGATGATCGCAAGCCCACCCCGCTGTGGGGTGGGCTTCTGATGACCGCAATGCTTTTATCTTGCGAACATGCCACACACCCGCCGACAATCGTACGATTCTCAGCGGGTTTTCGAACATGTTCATAAGATAAAAGTTGTGCGACCTTACAGTAGGAGAGGTCGCACGCCTTCCACACACCTTGCGATAATCGTACGATCGCGGGATTTCCCCTGATTATCGTACGATTATCGTAAGGTGTGTGGGCACCTTTAGGCAGTCACCTCCCTCAAAGGTATTTCACTGCCCAGAAATTAGCATGCGGCTTGGGAGTCAGAGAATGGCAGAAAATATTAACCACTTCAGGACCGGCATGCTAAACCTCCTTCATTACCAGGACATTTTTCCGTTTTCAGTGCTTTTGATAGTTTGAATGAGAATGACTCATTAGTCATTAGATACGATAAATGTACCAGTCATACACAGAGAAAAGAGGAGGTGAAGGGGTTAATGTACAGGTTTCATACAGTGGGAGGATGGAGATGAAGGGGTAAATGGACAGATGTGCGGGTTAGTGAGGTGAAGGGGTTAATATACAAGTCACTGCAGTGACAGAATAGAGCTGGCATATACAGGAGAGGAGAGGGGGTGAAATAATTAAATATTATTGAAAGACATTATTCTCTGCGGCTGCAGCTTGTTTTCACTAGGAAGTAATGAATAGATGACTCCTCCGATCATTACTTCCTTTACTCCCTCCTGCGTCTATTGTAAAGGGAAGGGGAGTGCTTAGCAATGTAAACATTGTCATGTGATCACTGTGATAACCAATCACAGCAACCAAGGCAAAAAGCAGAAACAGGAGGACATACAGGTACGTCCTCACAGAACAACAGGGCTGTGGACTGGCCACTGTAGATGTAAATGGGCGGTCCTCAGGCCCATTGTTCCGGGAAGTGGTTAAAGGAGAACTATGAGGGGAGTGAGAATCACTCAGCCTCATAGTTCGAGCCGACGTGTGACAATGAAACTGTAACAGGTCGGCTCAATAGATCGGGAAGTGAGCGAACACATACCGTCGCTCGGTCACTTCTCGATCATGTCCCTGCAGTCACTGCTCCTTGCAGGGATTCCCCCCTCCCCTGTCCGATCCTCCAGCGCTGATTGGAGGAACGGACGGGGAAGGGGGCGGGCACAGCTGGCTCTGCCTCTAGATAGGCAGAGCCAGCTGTCACTCACGCAGCGGGGTGGATCTCGACAGTAATGTTGGGATCCGTCCCGGCTGTGGCAGACTCACTGTGGCGAGATGTAGCTCACTATATACTGAGCTTTGGGTGACGGGAGGACGCTAGTTTATGTCCTCCCGTGACCCTTAGGAGAACTATGTGGACAAACAGTTACCCCATAGTTCTCTTTTAAAGTTTACCTAAAGCCAAAACTTTTCTATTTTATAGTTTTGGATAGAGGAGAGAATAGTTATGCCCCCGTCAGTTTCTTTTTGTGTTTTTGTCGTTTAGGTGGCATGAAGGATATCCCTTCACTTCCTGTCCCAGAGATATAACAGGAAGTGAGAGAAAATCTCTGCAAACTGAGCAGAAATGCCCTCTTAGACATTTGTCACTGTAACAGGTGTTCCCATTGAAATAATTCCCTTTTATTTCTGTTCCAGTGACAACCGTGAATATCAGTTTATTCCATTGCTTACCAGTACACAAAGAATGACACTTGCATGTCTTCAACGGGGACACAGACAAAATAAAAACCTGACAGAGGTTCTAATCCCTTTTCAAAAAAAGTTTTGGCTTTAGGTGTACTTTAATCATAGATCAAAGTTTATTTAGAGAAAGGAAACATTTCTGCACTATTGAACTTACACCAAATAACAATTCCAATTGACTTTGTGGCTGTGCAAAACCAGCACAGAAAATGATGCACAGTTTAGTTGGCCATACACTGGCAGTTTTTCTTGTTCAGGATTTTTAATTCCCCAACCAATGCTAACACCCCCCCCCCCCCC